CCTAAAGCTTTGATATCGTGTTAGAATTGTGCACAGATAATCAACAATTGAGAAACCTCCATTGATAGAGCTGGAAGGAGCATGAAAGAGACGATTGAGATTTGTAATTTGGGGAAATGAAAAATTAACTTCTATTCCACTTTCTTCCAGTATTTATACATGTATGTACAGAGAGAGAAGAAAAATATCTTCTAATCAAGGTGACAGCTAAGACGTAACAACTAACTTTCTAACTAACTTCCTTTAACACAGTAAGCTAACTAACTTCTTTATAACAAAAGGCATATAATATAATTAATTGAAAGCTGAAATTTAACTAATCTCAACACGTTTAATGTCTATTTTAATTATTATTAATTATTTCTCACATAATAGCTAGTCATTAAAATTGAAGATCAATTATGGAGAATTAGACACATGAGAATATAGGCGGAAGTATTATTTTTTTATACTACTACTAGATACGTGGTACATAGTTCCATTTTATAACAAAAACTACTATATATGCATGCAGCTCCATTAATCCTCGGCATGCACTCGCGATCAATAGATATCCTTCCTGAGGGGAACGATGATTTTTCTTTGTCTGTAAATTGGACCACAACCTCGGGTGTCTAGGTTAGCCGCCGGGCAGTTGACAAATCTCCTCATCGTTTTGTCCATACAGAAATGAATGTCCTTCAAATACGCGAAAGAAACATCCTTGGGCGATGTAGATTTTTTTGCTTGTCACTTTACCAAGAGGTATTAGTAGCTCACTCATTTTGTAAGCGGTTTCGTCATATTTGGAGAATATGCTGGCAGTTAAAAACTCTTCCCTAACTCTTGCTAAAAGTCCTTTTCCTTTGCCCGCAACCGCAACTCTCATCGCTCCTTAATTGAAAGTAGTGGGCAGCTGGAAGTGTCTGTTTAGTGCAGTAGCCGTGCACCTCCCATTCACGCATCCAGAAGGCCTCATCTGTATTCGTTAATAGAAAAGTAGGCCAGTGATCATCGTGAAGCTACTTTGCACGATTGGCGTCCTTCTCCCACTATATATAATTAAACGAAAAATCAATTGAAATTAATACAATATACATACCACATCTTTGACGTAGTCCTCACTATGCTGCACTCCAGACTATGGCCAGTGCTATTGCTTGGCCAGACGCCATGCATAGTAAACCTCTGTGTGTCGATCGACGGTTTACAGTGAACTCCCGAATATCCACATAGGGTGGGAGGCCACTGTATGACGAAAGCCAGGTGATTAAAATCACTTTGACAACTTATTAATCTAATGAACATTATCAAAAACAAGTAAATTCCAGACATTTTTAATTTTCTGTTGTACGTTGTGTGTAACTTACCTTATATAATGTCTATTTATGTTAAATTATTAATACAGTATTATTTAATATTTATGAAGGGAAGGTTATATATAGTAGTAACTTACTATCGTCTTATTGGATACTAAAAATCGATAAATCAATAATTTTCTTTATAAAACCCGTTAATCCAATAACATTTTTTTCGATTCGGTTTTTGCACACCCTTACTATATTATATAATGTAAAAGCATTCCATCTTCCACATCCAGCTTTTCCCAACAGGGTTTGTGTCATGTCTCCAACAAAAAACTAGGAGTGGCCTCCATGCGCCTATGCAGTGGGTAATGCAAATCCAGCTTTAAAATAAGCATACAAGGCTAGGAGTGGCTTCCATGCACATAGTGGCGTATGAAGGATTTTTTTGTAAGCGGTATCATTTTTAAAATGAGAAAAATAAATATTAAATTTTTGTATATAAATTATAAAACACAATTCATATATATTATTAATCTTTTCTAAAAAATAAAATAAAAATATATTACAAAATAGGTTAAGATATTTATGGACACGATATAGTGAAATAGGTTAAGATATTTATGGACACGATATAGTGAAATAGGTTAAGATATTTATGGACACGATATAGTGAAATAGGTTAAGATATTTATGGACACGATATAGTGAAATAGGTTAAGATATTTATGGACACGATATAAATATAATAACTCGAAGAAGCTAATAAAACTTGTATTAAGGAAAGAATAATTTTAGTTGCAAAGCAACAACCTAATTATATTATTGAACATGTATAAAAGGATTGAATTACTAGTGTAAGGTGTAAGATGTTGTTTTACTAGTGTTATTTGTGTTCAAGATCCCATGATTTCACCACCAACGTAACTTCTCAGAGCTGACCTCATCTCTTCAATAAAAGTATTATGGGTGATGATGGTCTATTATTTAATTGGAGAATACCACGACTTTTGTACTTGATGATGGCCTAGTCATTGCCACGAAGGCAAGTGAATATTAAAGTACCCAAAGGCAGTGGCGTACACATGATTTTTTTATGAGCGGTATCACCTTTTAGAATGAGAAAAATAAATAAATAATGTAATATCATATTAATTTTTTTATATAAATTATAAAACACAGTCAGGTATATGATTATATCTTTACTAAAAATATAAAATAAAATTATATTATAATTCTTTTTTTTTTTTTTTTTTTTGTGTGAAATGTATTCAAAATAATTTCATTCAAGATTCTTTCTTAAACACGCAACTTGATCTATGAAATTTCAGCCAAAACCAGCTAAGCTACACGCATCTCTTGTTATTAAAAGGAGTGTCGCCTATAACATATATAGATAATATATGCTTTATTTGCTTCTGTTTCGTAATTGTATATACTTGTTCAGTAGTGTCACGTGACACCCCTCCCCCTTCCTAAATCCGCCCCTGCATGCACATGCAAACCTTATTTTCTTATTCTCTACATATATACTTCATCAACCCAAATAATTCTAGCACTCTAAAAAACTTTCAGCAACTGGATCTCATTATAGTACAAACAAAGTTGCAACTTGAACACAAATAAAGATATTGTTGAAAGTTCAAATACAATCATGTCAACAGGATCACTATACGAGTCATGGACAGAATGCAGTAGTAAAATTGAGAAAATGCATAAAATCATCCCTGAACTTGTTTCAAAAATTCAGTTACACACTTAAACTATTATACTGACATATTACACATCTTTATTATTCAAAAATGAATTTTTTTTTACCCCTATAATTGAGTAACTAACATGGCAAAAAAAAGAAAAACGCGTTAAATAAAAAATAAAGTAAAAATAACACTCCCTCCGTCCCAATTTATGTGGCACTTTTCAGATTTCGAGATTCAAATAAGTTTATCTTTGGCCGTAAATTTTTAATATATCTTTTAATTATTTTGAATTGTTAATTATTGTGACTTATAGTACGTTTTATGTATTTTACATATATATAAATTTCATTTAAAAAAATTTGAAGATTCCACGCGCAAATTTTTTATCAAACTTAAACTGTTTGACTCTCAAAAAATAAAAAGTGCCACATAAATTGGGACAGAGGGAGTAATCAAAATCTTCTTTCTACCCACACCCCACACTCCCCTACTCATCTTCTTCACATCTCCAATTATATTCTATTTTAATGATTATTTGATTTTATCATTTTTATTATATCCGATTTTACTCTTCGATTTTGTTGGTGGTTGAGAAAATTGATGATTGATTTAAAAAAAATAAAATATAATGACAGATCTGTAGGTAAATATTGAATTTTGTGGTGGATCTTTATGATTTTTGTGGAAACGAAAGTGATAGCGTGATTTTGATGGTGAATTTATTAGTAGATGGTGAAATTTGTGGTTGGTGTGGTGAGACAGGAGCTTGCAAAGCTTAAAAAGAAGGTTGTAGCTTAAGAATTTTTAAGTAGTAACAATTTTGAAAGTTGTAATTTCACCCTTGAGAATAGATTTGTTTGCTTGAAGAGAAAACTCTGTTTGTTTTGTTTTTATTTTCTTTTCCATTTTTGCTTTGTTTTAGATTTTCTGGGAAGTTATTTTTTTGTTCTATGATGGCGAACGTTTTGTTTCAAAGAATTCTTCCTGAGTTATTTCATATTGTTTTGTTGCATTAGAAAAAAGAGAAGATTTTTATGAAGAAATATATAGATTTAGTATTAATATGATGGCAATGTTAGTGGTTCCATGGTGGTGTTCATGGAAGAAGAAACAATTGAATGACATGAATAACTTTATTTGAAATCTGACATGACATCTGATCGATGTGGCAATGAGATGACATTAATGTGGCGCAAGTGAGATACACTTTCGATTGTGAGAGTGGTACTATACATAGCAGGTAGTAAATAAATTCACCATTTAATAGTATAGATGTGTAATAAGTCGCTATGATAGTTAAGCATGTAGCTGACTTTTCGAAATAAGTTCAAGGATACCCAGTAAAATTTGCAAACATTATAAACAATCATATGTACTGGAAAAGAAAAACAATCACATGTGACTCTCAAATGAGTGCTATAAGCAACCTCTAAGTTGTCCATCTACAAAGTTTCACACCGCTATGCGAACCAATTATTTTATATCCCTGCAATTTCATCACCAAATAAACTACCTTAACATAAACCCACAAAATAATCCAACTAATTACTTGTTAAATTCAATTTTTAGACTTATTGTTAAATTCAATTTCCTAAAATTTATGAGTAGAAAACATTTTTCTTACTTATACGGATTTAGGGAAGAAAAGAGGGTAGGGAAATTAATGAGTATCAAAATATATATGAAGAGACTAATATTGTATACTATAATAATTAAAACACTTGCCAAGATTAGAATGGGATATCCTTCAAAATTTTAATCTTAGATTGGACTGGAAAATAATGTAAGTAAATGACTACTATCATGTTTGGAAAAAATAATAGTAACTCTTTGTTTTTGTTTTTTAAAAAGTAGACATTTATTTTTAGTATACAATACAGAGGTCAATAAAATGATTTATTTTTTAAAATATAAAGGTCCATAAAAATGAAATGTAGGATGCCTATTTATGGATTTTCCTTTTTCTTTAAAGATAAATTTAGAAAAAAAAAAATTAAAGATAGTAAAATTAATTATTGTAACAGATTTGAATGAGGAACTTTCTTCCTTGTCTATTTAAGGAAGCAAAATTGCTTCTGTTGTTTTCAATTTCTTGGCTTTCCCTAATCATAGTTTGATGGATGATTATGTAGCTAATTTTCCTGAGGATACAGTGAATGAGATTTTGTTGAGGTGTCCTGTCAAATTGTTATTGCGATTCAAATGTGCATGCAAAAACTGGTACGCTCTTATCAAAACCCCTAAATTCATTCAACAACACTTGAAGAAGAATCGTAGCCCCTTACAACTCCTGATTTATGATATTGGTGACATTGATGATGATTCCTGTCCCATGACTTTGATTTCTGAAGAAAATTCCCAAACGTTCCTAGGTATGCAAGACCTCATAGGTTATGTGGACGGCTTGTTCTTAATGTACGGACAAATTAATAGTGCTGCATTGTGGAATCCTGCTACTAGGGAGGTGAGATCCCTTCATCTCCCTTCACCCATAATCGATTATTCCCCTAACTTCGGTTTGGGAATAGACCCCTTGACTAATGATTATAAAGTTGTTTACTTTCTTCACTATAAAGCAGCAGTCTATTCGTGTCGTAGGGACTCATGGAGAGTTTTCAAAATTGAAGATTTCGACAAACCACCCCCATTTGACAAAGAGGTGAGACGCACATATGGTACTGCTTATTTGAATGGAAATTATTACTGGCTGCTAATTAATAACAATATCAGCACCATTCTTTTATTCAACTTTGGGAGAGAAATGTTTGAAGAGATTGAAGGGCCAGATCCAGATCCTAAATCTCCTTATGTTTATGCATTTGGTATGATGTTGCTTGATGATTCCATTGCCATCTTGAACAAGAAAATGGTTGAAAAATTTTATTATGATATATGGGTAATGATCCAACCAGGGGTCTGGAACAAACTTATTACCTTTCAATGCTTCCCACATTTTATCTCTTGCTATGATAGCTCTCTCATTTTGGTAACTAGAGCTTCTCGACTGTTCTCCTATAATATTCGGACTAACAAGACAAGATATCTTGGATTTCAACATTCGTGCTTGAAAGATGATGCAGCATTTGGTTATAGTGGTTGTGGGGTTTTTTATTATAAGGAGAGCTTAATAACAATTAAACAACAAGAGGATGGAGAGTTGGACCATTAACTGAAGTGCCAAAGCGGATGAGCTTATAAGTATTGTTTTAATTATGTAATATATATGTTCACTCAATTTCAGAGTTTGCATAAAGTGTTTGTAATTGCAATATCTATCACATTTTCTCATACAGTTAATGCTATTATCCTCTACTTATTCTGAATGCTCAGTATGTCATGAACAAAGGTGACTCCGTAAAGACTTTGGGCTAATTATATATAGTTCATGTCTAGATGTATAAAATTTTCATTGTCTCTGATCATAAGTTATAGATGTAGACTAGGCTATCTCATATTCCTTCTAAGCCCAATTATGTATTTCAAATGAATTAAAAATGAACTTGAATGATGCCTTAAAGTTTCTCAAATTGATCAGTCATCATGCCTCAGTCCTTTACTGTTTGTTTGGAATATTAAAACCCAAAAGTTGAATGCAGATCCTTATCTAGCTGATTGATGGCTTACTTAATCCAAAAGCACATTATACTTGGAATTTATGTAGTACAAGAAGCAATTCCTTGCATTGACTTTGAAAGTGCCAGTGGAAAGTTGCAGAATTATCGGCATCATGAAAGAAGTTGTCCTAAAGCACCTCAAATGTGTCTTGTTCCCCTTCCTCCTGGTGGTTATGAGACTCCAGTAAGATGGCCTGATAGTAAGTCAAAGATATGAGAATCAAGCTCATCTTCAGTAAATACAGTTTTATCTGTTCTTTCTTATATTAAGTTCTTAATATTTACAGATACTTTATAAAAATGTGGCACACCCGAAACTAGAGGCATTTGTTAAGAGAGGGAGCTGGGTGGTGGAGTCTGGAGAATATCTCATTTTTCCGACGAACCAATCTATACCCAAAGGTGGAATTCAACACTACCTAGATTAAATAGAAGAGGTGAGTCCCTTTTAATGATTCTTTGTTTGTTTCTCTTAGCAATTGCACTGCTCAAAGGTCTAATGATTATCTTATACAAAAAAATCATATAAATGCACCCACATTGTCTATGAATCTTCATATGCGTGAGCAAATTCAGTCCAGTCATGCTTGAAAAACTTTGCCAAAGCTGATCAGTAGAGTAAAAACAGATGTCTATTTTTTTAAATTTTTTTTGCATTCTTCTGGCACAATAAGCATGATCTTGAGCTGCTTTACTCTTGTATTATGATCTTTTCTTTTAGTAGAGAAGATAAAAGATGACTTGTCTTCACCACACAGTAATGCTTGTGCAATTTCTGGTTGTAGTTGATTTGGAATTGGTTAACTCTTTGTTAATTATCACTAGATTCAAACACTAGGTGTATGCCTGGCTGGTTTGAGATGATACTGCTAACAGTAGTATCATTACTTACTTATTTAGTTGTCAGTTGAATGCTACTTGCAAAGTCTCTCCTTGTGTTTGATGTGTGAATTGATATTGGAGATTGGTAGATGGTACCAGACATTGAATATATATACATGTTGTGCTGGATATTGGATGTAAAGATTCAAGCTTTGGGGTTTCTCTGCTTGAAAAGGACGTGTTAACACTTACTCTAGGCTTAAAAGATGACCTTGTGGATCTAGCACAAGTTGCACTTGAGCGTGGTTTTCCAACAGTAGTTACCCCATTCCGAACTCGGAGGCTTCCCTTTCCTAGTGGCGTCTTTGATGCTATTCACTGTAATGATTGCTATATATGTATCTTGGCATTCTAACGGTTAGTGTTAAGTTATTGCTAGATATTTCTTTTTCTTGTTTCTGTTTCTTTTTCCGTAATATCAGGAGGTTTACTTTCAGGGGGGAAGCATCTTATAAAGATGAACAGAATTTTGAGGCCTGGAGGTTATTTTATTTTGTCTTCAAAGCACAATAGCATTGAAGTTGAAGAAGGTTTGTCCTCTATTTACGTTAAGGAAAATGGCTTCTGTTTGTCCTCTTCATTTTCTGGCTTGTAGCTTGAAATTGTCTTGCATTGTTATCAAGTCTTTTTCCTTTGTGAAACTTGAAAGACGAGCTATCATTTTGATTTCATCCTTTTTAAGATATTCAATTTTGCGTGCTTTACTTTTCTTTTCAGCATGTATTTATGAATGCCTTTTTGTAAAGTACTCATGCTCATAACATCAACCTTCTTCTCCAGCTATATCCACGATGATAGCATCAATCTGTTGGAACATCCTCGCTGATAAAACTGATGATATCAAAAAGTACCACAAGCAAATGACATATACAAATTGAGACGGAAAAAAGTTCCACCTCTATGCAAAGCAAATGAGAACCCAGATGCATCTTGGTGAGTGGGAAAAGCCTGTGTTGTTATACTTGTCTCTCTTTGCTCTTTTCGATCAATTTGCAATTCCTTTGCACATACTTCCGCTACTGCATATGGACGAGTAATCTTTGGAATATAAATGCACAACTCCACCATTGTATGTCATTACACAAATTAGCTACAACTCTCTCAGGAGTGGTAGAACAAGCATGATTTATGATAAACCTTAAGAGTCAAAAACACATTAGTTCTAAAACTGTCATGCTTCTTTCCTTATCCTCTCAAATGTTAAATTCCAATTACCTTATCTGCAACAGGTACGTGCCAATTAAATCTTGCTTGCACACAATTCTTGAATGCATAGAACAACGAGGAACCGAATGGCCTGAGGAATGGCCAAAGAGACTTGAATCTTATCCCGACTGGATGAACAATAGAGAGCAATTGATCGCAGACAGTGAGCACTGGAAAGCTATTGTTGACAATTCTTATCTAGTTGGCTTGGGTATTGATTGGTCCAACATCCGGAATGTAATGGATATCAAAGCCATCAATGGAGGGTAAGCACCTAGCTTTGGTTAATCTGATGAAAGAGCCTCAAATATTAAATTGTTATTGGGTCTCCCTCTTCTTTTAATTGTAATATTGTACCTCAGCAAGGATGCTAACAACTGAGAATAATATACACAGATTTGCAGCAGCTCTTGCACAGAAGAAGGTGTGGGTGATGAATGTTATTCCTGTACATGCACCAAACACCCTTCCCGTAGTCTTTGAACGAGGACTTATTGGCGTGTACCACGATTAGTCTATGTGAGGCTTTTGGTACTTATCCAAGATCATACGACCTTCTACATGCAGATCATCTCTTCTCAAGGCTTAAGAGCAGGTTACATGATGTTTTCTCCTTTATTTGCTCCTTTGTTTCAGTTTTCCCCTCATAAAATATATGGATGATCCTGTCTTTCTTGATTATGAATCAAGACGAAAAGGCAGATGTACTTGTTCAGTTCAGGTCTACTTATGGTCATTCTTCTATCTGAAAAAAAGAATATTGCTTTAAAAAGGTGACTCACAGTCAGTCCCTTTTCAAGTATTATCTATCCAGTCGGTGTGTGTATGAACGAACAGCTTCCACCTCTTTTTGGGCTATATTCCCATCCTGTCCCTCATACCCCTTTCAGCAATGGTTGCCGAATGTGGAGACCTTGATATTGTATACAATCCTCTCCTTGTTTTGAAAATACAGTATGTTGTGAATCAAGCTAACTCCGTTATAAATATTGGATCGAGAGTAAATTTTTTGAGAGTTTTATTTGGGATCGAGATTGAATTACCATTTGTTGAAAAGGACATGGAGTTAGAAGAACAATTATGAAAATTATTATGTTGGCTATCTGGTATCTCTCATCCCCTTCTATGGTCTTGTATCTCATCCTCTTCTAATTACTTAATCTCTCCTTAGTTAATATGTTATCACTTTGTTGTGTGTATTCTAGGTT